TGGCGTCGTTTTCCAGAATCAATATCATTTGGTACGATGGTTTCTGATGAGTGTTTGTGCTGTCTATCAGGTGACGAGGCATGCCTTGTTTGAGGAGACGTTTTTGATCGATAATTCTGCTGATGGTGATGTGAACGATATTCTTCATCGATTTTTGGTGGAACAGAAGGTGAACTTGTTACGTAGACCTTTCGTGATAAAGACGATTCTTTGTTTGAATTTCGATCAGAAACAACCTTCAACATAAATGATGACAGGAATTATATTTTAACTCAAGCTAGCAACAGATACCCATGTAAAAATAAAATTCCATGGTATATCTTCAAGACAAATAACAACAATTTGACTTACCACGTGAAGTTTCGCTGTTGGTGTTGTTGACGTCTGTTGTTTCCGTCCATTTGATTCCGCATTACTAGCATTTCCTTCTGCCTTCGCAACAAATGATGGTAAACGCGGACGAACTTGTGACTAAAATGAAAAAATAGTTGAATATTTCGTTTGCTTAGACAGAGTCACATATATTTTTTTTACTTTTTCTGTTGCCGATTCAATTATTGGTTTCTGCTGATATTCTTTTCTTGATCTACTGTCATTTGCCGTTGATGATGACTTTTTTGCACGTGAAGATTTTGAATGGTCTGCCAGTGGCGACAGATCATCGTACCGTTCAGTTGAAATTGACGAAGTAAACTACATACACAGATAGACACATACGAATGAAAAGATCTCATGCTTAGGCATCTAATAATAGCAGACAGGAATTCTCCTAGAAATGGATGTACAACGTAGGCGACTGAGCATCTCAGAATCGGGGGAGACTCATACCAATTTCTAATACATTCGCTGATTATCGTGAAAGCTCAAGTCTGCTGATCTCCTGGTTCCACCGCCTATGGTTACCTAACAGATTTCTCATCCATTTACTTCTGACGTGAATAATGAAGAAAAGGGCGGTAAAACAGAGCCGTACATACAGAAAAACTTAGACAACTACAACAAATAGGATGTGTTAATGACGCAGGTTTGTCATCAACATGCAACCTTCTATGTTAAAACATCAGGAACGGTTGGAAGAGCCTCACCATTCTATAGTACTTCTCGTTATGATCTATATCTGTTTTTTATTAAATACTTTCATTATGAGGGAATAAAAATGCGAAAAAACATAAAAATTAGAAGAGTTACCCACCTTTGTTAAATCTTCGCTAGTTGACGTCACTTCTAAACAGAGATATGAAAAACCAATAAAATACAGAAGTTTCAGAGCAGAGAAGAAAAAGTCACTTTTTAGATTCAAAGCATTGTCCGTTCCTACAATGAAACATAATCTGATCATACCTAATGATCAAGGCAAAAGTTCATCTATACCATCCCTGCTGGATACGATTAGAGAAATTTTCACGGCAATAAAGTCATATCACATATTGTCTACTTTATAACTCGCACATTCTAAATATACAGCTAATTTTCTCTCAGTCAACTAGCCTATAAAACTCAAAAATCAGTTTCCCTTATCTATATCAATTCCAAGTTAGTGAAAGAAAAATAACCGAGCTGATTCTTTAAAATTTGATCACAGATTCGAGAAAACAATTTTCTCAATTGCGGATTATGAAAACCAAAAAAGATTTGTCTACATTTGATCAGAATCAATCATATGTTAAATTGCACCATTTTTCATCCATGATTTTGATATAATATCTTCATTACCAACCATACGTACCCGTGACATTCTCAACCTTCAGGAAAAAACATTGTCACTTACACGTTTTTTTTTGTTTACATCTAAAGTATTCACATGCGGAAATGAATAGGAGTGTTACTATTCAATGTTTTTGTTAAATTCCACCGCGCATACATTATGATTAAAAGAAAATAGGAACAAAAAAAGGTAACAACAAAGAGAAAGAGAGAGAACATCAACAAGAAATACAATGAAGATTTATATTGCTTTTGTTTCGTCGAATAATCTGGAATCTCATATTTATTTTTTCATTTTCATTAATTGAGGTCTGTACATTATGTACAAACACACGCACATTACACTAAAGAGAATTAAAACTAAAAACACACACTCACAGACACATATAAAAAACGTTATCAAAAATATATATTGGAAAAATTAAGTAAAAATTGTCACTATTGTCTTTTCTATTATTAAAAACTCACCCAACACACATTCTCACTAATAATAGATGAATAATATTTTCTTTTTTGCTTCTTGAATATAACTCACCGTCATTCATTGTTTGTTCCATTTTAATATTACCATCATTCATCACTGTTGATACGAACGATATTGAAGGATGAATATCCAAAATAGGATGCTGTTGTTCTTGTTCGGATTCATCTTGTTCCATGATTGAAGGTGCTTCTAATTTTGTATGTTTACTATCATCTTTATTATTATCAATTATATTTGATATTATGGCTGTTGAAGGTGATTTACTTCTACGTTTTTGAGACGAAGATTCTGATTTGATGGATGTAGCTGATATAATAGATAAATTATCGATATTTGTTTCAGATTGTTTTGATGGCAACATAGATTGATGAGGTAAATAAGATGAAGAGGGATCGGGACTGTGACTATGTATTGATATTGAATTTTGAAAATTGCTATTAAATGACATTGACTGAGGAGCAGACAAAGAAGTATGAGATAAATCTGTACTCGTATGTGGTATAGGTTGTGATTGTACAGTATTTGAATTAAAAGCTAAAAGAAAATATAGAATATTATTTTTAGGAATGAGATATAGGTAACTATTAACTTACATTCGAGTTTTGGTCGATCTCTTTCATGTCTAGTTTGATCAAAATGATTTTCAGATGAACGATGTCCTTCTTGTTGTTTATAATGATCACCTGTGTATCCACTTGTTCTAGACGAAGAATCTTCTCGATTTCTTGATGAACGTTTTGTTTGTTGTGAAGGTGAATAGTGTCGTGATTTTGAATTGTATTGTCTACTACCACTTTTTCGTTCATGTCTATCGTCTTTTTCTCTTGGATTATCGCGATATTTTGATGACGACTGTGAATGATGATAATTATCTGGTTTTGAGGTAGGTTTTCGATCATTTGAATGTCGACGATAATGATAGGAGCGGTGCCTGCTGACAGGTCGACTGCTTGTTCTTCTTGGCGAGACAGGATCTGATGGATGATGCTTACGATCACGCGATGAACGATCACGGCTACTTCGGCGGCGAAAACGATGTGAAGATGATAGTGAAGGTTCACGTCGTCTATCATGTGGCGAACGACGTGGATGATAACGTGTTTCTGGTGTAAATGAACGTTGGGGAGATGAACTAAAAGAGAAATTATTTAAAAAATGAATTGTAATTAGATTCTTTCAAAATTATTCTCAGAAAAACGTATATGTCTATATAAACCAGTTTGTACGTTCATTTAAATTACAAGAGGATTATCAAAGTATTTACAATTTGACGTGATAATACGTAAAACAACAAAATTATTTAAAATGTACTAACAATAAGAATTATTTTAATAACTTACACAAAACATATATACAGGGAGCTTCCGCTTTTCTATTGGGTCCCTTTTGAACACTGCAAAGCCATGAAGAAACATCATATCGAATAATTCATTTTCTACGGAACTGTTATACAGAATTGGGAAAATAGTCATGACAAGTGAAAGCTAAGTAGGATTAATACCTTATGCTTCTCTTTTTTAACTGAGACTTAATTATGAGGAAAGTGTAGTGTAGTCAAAGCCTCTGATAATACAGATGATTCTGACATGTTCAAAAAACCAATTGCTAAAAGAACAATCTATTCATCTGAAAAGAAATTCTTCGCAGCAGTCCCATACTGTGGCTCAAAACAAAGATAATGACGCAGGAACTGAAGAAAACTCTAGAAAGAATCTTTTTAACAGCAAGAGTAATGCCTTAATTTCAATAAATTATTTTTTAAGAATACAAAAGGTATAAATACTACGAATACTGTACAAGCTCCATATGAAAAATCTTCAAAACGTTACATTAAGCAAACGAAAATAAAACAACAAAGCTCACAAAGAAAACAAAAGCGAAGAACACAAGTTTAAGTAAATCGTATAACATTTGATTACTTACCGTCTGTAATTCGAATAACGACGATAGGCTGGCGATGACGGAGAACGTGCACTTGACGAACGACGGCGCATTGGTCGTCGATCATGACTAGATGAACTTCGA